TTTAATCCCACCCCTCTCCTGAACACCCTAGCATTTACTTCTTTTACAACCCCATCTATAAATATATTAAACAACCATGGTGACATTACACATCCCTGTCTAAGACCTACTTTTACTGGGAAGTAGTCTCCCTCTCTTCTACACACCCTAAAACAGATACATGTTAAGTAAAATAAATATACAGTACATACAATACTTGCCTTAAAATATGAAGCCAGTCACCCTTCCCTTATGCAACTGTTGTAAGAAAACAGCGATAATGGTGGAAAAGCGGTAAAAGCACCAAATATAACAAACAATGGCTCAACTGAAAGCCAACAAAAATGTGGAACACCAGCAAGAGGGAGCTGTATATGTGTGGCCCTCCTTTATTTTCTAAACTATCTGAATACACCTTCATAGCTCACCTCACATCTTATTTACATGAAACAGTCTTTATTCTCAGTTCCTATCACCTGGTTTATCTGTTAATGGCTCTGGGGATCTTCATCCCCTGCCCATATGGTCTCAGACCAGGCCTCATTAACTGGAAGGAACAAGAACTATCAAGGCACACAGAGGAAAGTAGTCATGTGAAAGATGTTAATGCTACAACAGCCTTGAATATGCAGCTTTGCTGAGCTCCATTGTTCCCAATTAGAATTACTACATATGCTAGAAACAATCTGGAATGAAGACTAGCATCAGAAAATACTACTACTATAGTTTAAAAGATTTTAGTTGTAAAATATATTGATGTAGTTAGCAACAATAATGATCTACAGGTCCGCCATCACAAATCAGGCATCATTGGAACCTGTAGTTTGCTTGATTATTGAGTTTGCCGGATTACAGAGTGGTTATGTTAGAATACACTTAATGAAGTTAACCAACTTGACTTAGCTCAATTTCAAGGTACAGTGGAACCTCAAATTTCGAACGTATTGCTCATCAAACTCTTCGAAAATCGACTGCTTTTTTCGAACCAACTTTGTCCCTATTATCGAACTCGCCCCTATTTTCAAACCGCCGGGTACCGGACCTGTCCGGCAGCCCGCTCTGTCCATGTCCCGCACAGGCACCGTGAGCCAGTCTGGTTTTGTTGATGCTTGAGTGAGCACTAACCTGCACTCTCATTCAAACATTTTACGATTATTTCATTGTGTTTAGTGCTTGTGGGACTGTGAAATAAGCTAACATGAGCCCAAAGAAACTTGCTAGTGGTACCCCTGTGGTAAAGAAAGTGAGAAACACCATAGATGTGAAGAAGGAAATAATACAGAAGTATGAGAGTGGTGTGAAACTTGTTGAGCGTGCCAGGATGTATGGGAAAAACAAGTCGACCATCGGTTCTATCCTGGCAAAGAAAGAATAAATTAAGGATGCTGATGTTGCAAAAGGTGTTGATATGTTAAAAAAAAAACAAGACCACAGACAATCGATCAGGTTCAGAAGTTGCTGCTGGTGTAGATCAAGGATAGAGAGATGGCAGGTGATAGTGTTTCAGAGACGATTATTCATGAAAAGGCAAGGAAGCTGCATGCCAAGTGGAATGATGCCCAAATGTTTGTGGAGAAGTACCACCATGAGCAAGCTGAAACAAGCCATCTTTGCAACAAGTTCAGTGACAGAACCATGTCCCATTTTAGGGAAATCTTAAAGAGGCGCCAGAAACAGAGGACTGTGGACAGTTATTTTGAAAGACAGGGGTCCAGTGACTATCAAGCTGGTCCTAGTGGTATTAAAAGACAGAGAAGGGAAGTAACCCCAGAGAGGGCTTTGATACCTAGTCCTTATGGAGAGGGATTCCCCTTCCAAACACTAACCCCAACTCCCTCTCTCCTCCCTATCTTCCTGATGCCATTATCAATCTTCAATAAAGGACAGTAATTTTTTTTTTTTAACAAGTCAGCCTTCTCCCACCGAGGCAGGGTGACCCAAAAAGAAAGAAAATCCCCAAAAAGAAAATACTTTAATCATTCAACACTTTCATCTCACCCACACATAATCACTGTTTTTGCAGAGGTGCTCAGAACACAACAGTTTAGAAGCATATACATATAAAGATACACAACATATCCCTCCAAACTGCCAATATCCCGAACCCCTCCTTTAGAATACAGGCATTGTACTTCCCATTTCCAGGACTCAAGTCCGGCTATATAAAAATAACTCGTTTCCCTGAAACCCTTCACTAAATATTACCCTGCTCGCACTCCAACAGATCGTCAGGTCCCAAATACCATTTGTTTCCATTCACGCTCATGCACGCCTGCTGGAAGTCCAATGCCCCTTGTCCATAAAACCTCCCTTACCCCTTCCTTCCAACCTTTTCGAGGACGACCCCTACCCTGCCTTCCTTCCCCTACAGATTTAAACGCTCTTCATGTCATTCTACTTTGATCCATTCTTTCTAAATGACCAAACCACCTCAACAACCTCTCTTCAGCCCTCTGACTAATACTTTTATTAACTCCACACCTTCTCCTAATTTCCACACTCTGAATCTTCTGCATAATATACAAAGAAATCTCCGTCAGGAGTCGAACCTGAGTCTGCCGCTTTAACCCTTTCAGGGTTTCAGCCGTACTAGTACGGCTTACGCACCAGGGTTTTTGACATACTAGTGCGCCTAAATTCTAGCGCCCTCAAATCTAGTGAGAGAAAGCTGGTAGGCCTACATATGAAAGAATGGGTCTATGTGGTCAGTGTGCGCAGTACAAAAAAAATCCTGCAGCACACAGTGCGTAATGAGAAAAAAAAACTTTGACCGTGTTTTTGGATTAAAACAGCGACTTTGCACTGTATTTTCGTATGGTATTTATTGTTGTGTTCTAGTTTTCCTGGTCTCATTTTATAGAATGGAAGACTTTTTTTTTTTTAACAAGTCGGCCGTCTCTCACCGAGGCAGGGTGACCCAAAAAGAAAGAAAATCCCCAAGAAGAAAATACTTTCATCATCATTCAACATTTTCACCTCACTCACACATAATCACTGTTTTTGAAGAGGTGCTCAGAACACAACAGTTTAGAAGCATATACGTATAAAGATACACAACATATCCCTCCAAACTGATAATATCCTGAACCCCTCCTTTAGAGTGCAGGCATTGTACTTCCCTTTTCCAGAAATTGAGATGATTTTGATTGGTTTTACGAAGAAAAGTACCTTGAAATTGAGCTCAAAGTAGCAGAAATGTTTGATTTTTACCAAAGTTCAAAAGTAAACAAATCATGCTATGCGTCCAATACACGTCAACTGGCGAGTCTAATATTCTCTCACAAATGCGCCGATATTATTTATACCATTTCTACACTAATACAGTAGTCTGCATAACAGTAAATCTATTTTTTTTGTGAGAATAAAAATTCAAAGTGGAAAGCAAAAGAATGTAAGAGGGGCGTGGGGACGTGACTAATGAACAGAGGAAATGTTATTTAGAGCCAGGAATGTCCTTTCTTGTTTATTCTGGACTCTATTCGGAAATTGGCATCTTTTGAAATTTGTGTGAAATTGGCAAAATTGCTAAATTCTGACCACTGTATTGGATAGTTGAAATCGGTAAATGGGTGGTTTCTTGTACTCATTCGATAGAAAAAATGGAGTTCTAGTGAAATAGTTATGATTTTTGTTGACAAGTACACTGGAATTGGCAGAAAATAGGGCTCAAAGTGGGCAAAATAGCCGATGTGTAAGCATCGTCGAGACCGCTAACTTTGCGAGAGTATAATTCCGTAAGTTTTTCATCAAATTTCATAGTTTTGGTGTCATTATGATTGGGAAAAGATTCTCTATCTTTTCATAAGAAAAAAAATTTTTTTTTTTTAAATTTGGCCGACCCTGAGAACAAGTCTCTGAGAGGGCCTGTCGACCCTGAAAGGGTTAAAGACTGACTGCTGGTCTTCGAAGCCATTATCTTCAGGTTATTTTATATTTATATATTTATTTTATATGTTTATTTAAATTTATTAATATATAATTGTACACTATATTTGTTGTATGTAAAACCATAATTAACCTCTATAAAATGTATTTTTTTGTGAATATTTTTGGGTTTCTGGAATGGATTAATTGTATTTCCATTATTTCTCATGGGAAATAATGCTTTGCTTTTCAGACTTTTCGAATTTAGAACTAGCTTCTGGAACGGATTAAGTTCGATATTTGAGGTTCCACTGTACCTTTCGTCATGAAACCAATTAAATTCATATCTATTTCTTTAATATATCTTCCATTCTATCAAATGAGACCAAAGAAACGAGAATACAACCATAAAAACCATACGAAAATATACTGCTAAGGGACGGCTAATGGCCGAGAAGTGAACTCCATTATTTATCGTCCAATTTTTTTCATTTTTGGTGAACGTTAAGAAGCATCTTTCCATTATACACCCAAGTTTCAATAAGATAGCCAAACAAGCAACTGAGAAAAAAAATATTTACCAAAAATCATATATGGCAAGCCCAAGCCAGGTACTGGAAATAAGTCACTTTGACTTTTTGGGTTATCCTTGGTTCTCTATACATATGCTATGTATGACAATCTATATAACTGCATTCTGTCGACGGAGTACAAGAAATCACCCATTCACCTATTTCAACTACCTAATAAAGTGGTCAGAAATTGGCAATCTGGCCAATTTCATACAAATTTCAAAAGATGCCAAATTCAAAATAGGGTCCAGAATGAACAATGCAGACATTCTTGACACTAAAATAGCATTTTCTCTGTTCATTAGTCATGGTTCCAGGCCCTCTTACTTACCATTTGGCATTTTTATTCAAACAAAAAATAGAAGATTTATTGTTATGCAGACTAGTACATTATTGTAATAATTGTATAAATAATGTCAACCCATTCCTAACTGCATATTGGAATTTGGACTGGCCAGTCAGAATAACTGATGGAACCGAATAACTGATGGAACTAGACGTCTGATTGCCAGATTTGTGATAGCGGACCCGTACCATGAAAATATAAATTATTTAACACATAATTCTAATGTCAAAGCTACTTACCTTCTTCTGTGGGGATTTTCGTGGAGAAAACTTGGCTTTTGGTGTTCCATCTGCATTCTTTTTCGTTGATGTCTTCAAATCAAAAAGAGTTGCTTGTTTCATCTTTCTCACACCCTTGGCTTGATCCTTTCCATCTTTTATTATTTCTTTCTTTCTAGGCTGCAATAAAGGAACAATGCTTGGTGGAGTAACCATTTTTGTCTTTTCTGGGGTTCCATTTTCTACCTTTGGTGATCTATTTGCCAAAACTGCAAGACATACATCTTCTTCACTATCACTCGATTCAATTTTCACTACTTTGGGTATCTTTGAGGAAGGTTTTGGTGGTTCTAATTTAGGAACTGGCTTTGGAGTTCTCTTAAAACCAGGCTTTGGACCAGGCTTTCGTCTAGGAGCATTAGGATCACGTTTTTCTCTTCGTTTTCTAACTTTTGGAGACCTAGAGGAAAGCCCATCTTTACTTTTTTTTACAGTTTCCAGTACCTTTTCACCTTTTGCCTTCTTATGTTTTTCTTCAATTAAGCCTTCAGCCTTTCTCTTTCTACCTAGTGCATGTGTCCTTGGGTGTGTAAATATTGAAGCTAACTTACTGGGAATATTAAACTGTTTAACTAATTCTTCTGATACTAGCCATGGTGTATATGCACTGGATCGCTGTCTAATTGCGTTGGCTCGGACAAACAGGCGAAAATGCTCCTTCGGTGGCACCTTATAAGTTCGCCTGTGGAAAATAGAAATTTTAATTTTAAGCTTTATAAAAATATATGGCTAATAAATATATTACAAATAGAAAAAGCTAATAATTTTCTTGTGATATTGCTGAACTTATCTGAGTTTGCAGGGAGTGAAAACTTGCTCTAGATCCTAAAATGTAAGTTACCTATTTGTGACAGTGGGCTGCCAGTAGCGAGAGCCTGGTTAACCAGCAAGTACCAGACAAGCATGGTTCAGGGCCAAGCAGCAGATATAGGAAACTCTTGAAACCCATCAATTGTATATCAAAGGCAAAGAATGGAAGCAGAGCTATACTTGTGGTGTCTTGAAGGTAGGAAATATAGAGATGTCATACTTCATAGCCAAACAACCCAAATTTTATTAGAAATTATTTTTTATCTGTTTTTCTCATTGATATATACACATGGTATGGATTTTTTAATAAACACCACTGCTAACATTGGAAAAATTAAATCAGCAAATAAGATGTACTTCCTTCCCAGAACTCTAAGGTTCCATGGGGCATTTATTTAGAGACTGAGGGGATAAAGAAGGAAAGAGAGTGAGCTAGGGATCCTTAACTTAACCTTGTCAAACCCTGTGTAAAAAGAGAGAAGAGAGAGGAGGAGAGAGGGGAGGAGAGAGAGAGGGGAGAGAGAGGGGAGGAGAAGGGGGAGAGAGAGAGAGAGAGAGAGGGAGAGAGAGAGAGAGAGGAGAGAGAGAGGAGAGACAGGGGAGAGAGAAGTGAGCGAGAGTGAGCGAGAGGAGAGGGAGAGGGAGAAGAGAGAGGGGGAGAGAGGGAGGGAGGGAGGGAGAGGGAGAGAGAGAAAAGAGAGGAGAGAGAGAGAGAGAGAGAGAGTGAGAGAGAGAAGAGAGAGAGAGAGAGAGAGAGAGGGAGGGGGGGAGGGGGGGAGAGAGAGAGAGAGGGGAGGGAGAGGGAGGGGGGAGGGAGAGGGGGGGGAAAAGGGGGAGAGTAGAGGGGAGGAGAGAGGGGGGAGAGGAGAGGGGAGGAGAGGGAGAGAGAGGGGGAGAAGGAGGGGAGAGAGAAAAGGGAGAGAGGGGGGAGAGAGGGAGAGAGGGAAAGGGGGGCCCCCCCCCCCCTCGAGGGAGGGGGAGGAGAGAGGGGAGGGGGGAGAGGGGGAGGAGAGAGAGGGGAGAGAGAAAAGGGAGGGGAAAAGAGGGGAGAGAGGAGAGAGAGATGAAAAGGAATAAGAGCATGAGAGAGAGAGAGAGAGAGAGGAGAGAGAGGAGATGAGAGAGAGGAGAGAGAGAGGAGGAGGGGGGAAGAGAGAGAGAGAGAGAAAAGAAAGGCAGCAACTTCACTCTGGTTTGAAACCTTCTCGAACATAAACTCCATCTGAGATCTTAAAATACCCAGGTTTGACTCGAGGGGGGAAAACACATTCTAAGCATAATGTGTCAACGAGGATAAGTCAGTTGTTTCAAATGAAAATGCGGGCCCCACGTTGGCTCCAACTTCATCCTGTTCCCAAATTGTATGTCTCATAACAATAAAAAATGCTTTAAAATTGGTTTGATGTAGGTAACAGCTTTAGCTTGTCAATAAAGTTAGGAATCCTTAACCTGAAAATAGCTGTAATTTAAAGCTGGGGATCCTTAACCTTGTAAAACCCCTGGGGTAAAAAAAAAAAAAAAAAAAAAAAAAAAGGGGGAGAGGGAGAGAGAGGAGAGAGAGAGAGAGAGAAGAGGGGAGAGGGGAAAAGAGAGAAAAGATGAGAGAGAGAGAGAGAGAGAGAGAGAGAGAGGGGGAAAAGAGAGAGGGAGAGGGGGAGGGAGGGAGGAGGAGAGAGGGGGAGAGAGGGAGAGAGAGGGAGAGAGAGGGAAAAGAGGGGAGGGAGAGAGGGAGAGAGAAAAGGGAGGGGAGAGAGGGAGGAGAGAGGGAGAGAGAGAGGGAGAGAGGAGAGAGAGGGAGGAGAGGGGGAGGGGGGAGAGAGGGGGGGGGAGGGAGAGGGGAGAGAGGAGAGGGAGAGAGAGAGAGAGGAGTAGAGAGAAGAGAGAGGAAGGTAGAGAGAGAGGGGAAGAAGAGAGAGAGAGGAGAGAGGGGGAGAGAGAGAGAGGGAGAGGGGGGAAAAGAGAGAGAGAGGGAGAGAGAGAGAGGGGGGAGGAGAGGGGGGAGGGGAGAGAGGGGGAAAGGGAGAGAAAGGGGGGAGAGAGAGAAAAGAGGGAGAGGGGAGAGGAGGGAGAGAGAGAGGGGGGGAGAGAGAGAGGGGGGGAGAGAGAGGGAGGGAAGAGAGGGGAGAGAGGGAGGGGAGAGGAGAGGGAGGGGGGAGGGGAGGGGGGGAGGGAGGGAGGAGGGAGGGAGGGAGGGAGGGAGAGGGGAGAGAGGGGGAGGAGAGAGGGGGGAGGGAGAGAGAGGGGGGAGGGAGAGAGAGAGGGAGGGGGGAGAGGGAGGGAGAGAAAAAGGGGGGGGGAAAGAGAGGGAGAGAGGGAGGAGAGAGGGAGGGGGAGAGGGAGAGAGGAGGGAGAGAGAGGGGAAAGAGAGAGGGGGGAGGGAGGGGAGAAAAAGGGGGGAAAAGAGAGGGAGGGGAAGGGAAAAGGGCGGAAGAGAGGGGAGGAGGGAAAAGAGGGGGGAGAGGGGAGAGGGGAGAGGGAGAGAGGGAGGAGAGGGGAGAGAGGGGGGGAGGAGAGAGGGAGAGAGGAGGGGAGAGGGAGAGAGGGAGAGAGGGAGGGGAGAGAGAGGGGAGAGAGAGAGAGAGAGAGATGAGAGAGGAGAGAGAAAAAGGGGAGAGAGAGAGAGAGAGAGAGAGAGAGCTTCAAAAAAGCTAGGGACCCTTTAAACCCTTTTGTCAAACCCTGTGTAAAAAAAAAAAAAAAAAAAAAAAGGGAGAGAGGGGGGAGGGGAGGAGGGGGGGAAAAAAGGGGAGAGAGAGAGGGAGAGAGAGAGGGAGGAGAGGGGGAGGGGAGAGAGGGAGGGAGGGAGAGAGAGAGGGGGAGAGAGGGGGAGAGAGGGGAGAGAGGGAGAGGGAGAGAGGGGGGAGAGAGGGGAAAAGGGGAAAAAGGGAAGGGAGAGAAAATGGGGAGGGGAGAGGGAGGAAAAGGGAGAGGGAGGGGAAAAGAGAGGGAGAGGAGGGGAAGGGAGAGAGGGAGGGGGAAAAGGGGAAAAGGAGGGAGAGAGAGGGAGAGAGAGGGGGGAGAGAGAGGAGGAGGGGAGGGGAGGGAAAAGGGAGAGGGAGGGGGGAGAGAGAGAGGTGAGAGAGGGAGGAGGGAGGGGAGAGAGAGGGAGAGAGGGGAGGGAGAGAGGGGGGGAAAGGGGGGAGAGAGGGGGAGAGGAGAGGGGAGAGGGGAGAGGGAGAGAGGGAGAGAGAGAGAGAGGGGAAAGAGGGGCGAGGAGGGGAGAGATGGAGGAGAGAGGGGGGGGAGGGGGGGGAAGAGAGGAGGGAGGGGGGGGAGGAGAGAGGGGGAAAGAGAGAGGGAGGGGAGAGGGGGGAGGGAGAGAAGGGGGGGAGAGAGGGGAGAGAAAAGGGGAGAGAGAAGGGGAGAGAGGGAGAGGGGAGGGGGGAAGGGAGAGAGAGAGAGAGAGGAGAAGAGAGAGAGGGAGGGAAGAGAGAGAGATGAGAGGAGGGAGAGAGAGAGAGAGAAGCGAGGGGAGAGGGGAGTGAGAGGGGCTGTCAATAAAGCTGGGGTCCTTAACCTTGTCAAACCCTGTGAAAAAAAAAAAAAAAAGGAGAGGGGGGGAGAGAGGGGGAGAGAGGGAGAGAGGGGGGAGAGGGAGAGAGGGAGAGAGGGAGAGAGGAGGGAGAGAGGGGAGGGAGAGAGAAGAGGGAGAGAGGGGAGGGAGAGAAAAGGAGGGAGGGGGGAGAGAGGGGAGAGGGGAGGACAGGCGAAACAAGCTTTTTTGCCCCAAGACGGGCAAAGAAAGCAGAAACTTCATTTGGGCCCTGTCCCCTTCTCAAAATCCTCCATTGGGGATCAAAAATACCGGGGATGACTCGGTAGGGAAAAACACATTCTTTCCCAGCAAATGATGTCAAGAGTTTAACGCCCGTTGATAAAATAAAAAATGCTGGCCCAAAAAGGTTTCCAACTTCTTTCCTGTTCCCTTTGTATGTTCATAAAAAATTTTAAAAATGCTTTCAAATGAGCTGATGAAAAGGTAAAAGCCTTAGTTGTCAAAAAAAGTTGGGAAAATTCCTTAACCTGAAAATTTAGTTTTGCCCAATTTAAAGCAAGGGACCCTTTAAAACCTTGTAAACCATGGGGGTAAAAAAAAAAAAAAAAAAAAAAAAAAAAAAAAAAAAAGGGGGAGAGAGAGGGGGGAGGGAGAAAAGGGGAGAGGGAGAGAGAGGGAGAGGGAAAAGAGAGGGAGGGGGTGAGAGGGAAGAGAGGGGGGAGAGGAGAGGGGTGGGGAGTCCCACGCAAAACCCGGGGCTTTGGGAAAAAGAGGAAATTTGGGCCCCAGCCCTTTGCTTGGGGGCCCCGCCACCACCGGGGGAATGCTTTCTCCAGGGATATTTTGAAAACCCAAAGTGAAACCCTTTAAACTGGACACTCCTTAATCTGCAAAAGAAACATTTCCCCGGCAAATGAAAAAAAGGGCCTAAAGATCAGCCTTGGTTTGGCTTTCTTTGTAGAGAGGCTGCTACTGTAAGTACAAAGCATGGCAAAGGAAATAAGAGACATCCTCCCAACCTTTAAAAAGGGAAACTTGCACAAGAAAGCCTTTAGGCATATGGGTGGGGTGTTCAAAAGTGGGCCACTGGGTAAATGGGGGTTGGGGCACTAAAAGAAAAAATTAGCATCAGGGGAGGGTAGGCTCCAAAAAAACCCGGGGGTCCCTGGTCAAGGGGGCAGACAAAGGTTTTTTTGTGATAACCCTTTTTCCACCCCCCTAAATCCCACAGGATGGGACCACCTCTTTCTATTTTCAAGAGGAAAGCGGGGCCTCTTTGTGAACACTTTGCTACCCAAAAAGCAAATTCCCGATCCAGCAAGGGACCCCCCTTGGGGAGCTGCTAGAACTGTGTTTAAAACTGAGGGGGGGGACAAAAAGGCAGGAGGAGGTGCTTTCCCCTTTTTAAAACACTTGAAAAAGAAAAGGCTGTGGGCCCAAAACAAGTTGGCCCCGGGCTGGGTTTAGAAGATGTGCAGACCGCTACCCGCACCTCTAACCCCATCTTTCAGCACTGCCTTGTAAGTTTTAAATGGCCTTTTCCTGGGAAAAAGGGGAAATGTTTGTCCCGGGCACAAAAAGAAGAAACAGAAAAAGAAATCCCCCTCCGCCCCCCCCCCCCGTGTTTCCTCCCGTCAAACACTGGAAGGTCCCTTTAGACAATAAATTTTCAAGACAAATGACAGAGTTTTTTGACTACCCCCACCCCTTTGTGATCGTCAAATATGGCTTCAGGAAAAAGGGTTTCTCTGCTGCTGATCTGTTGTTAAACCTCCCCTAAGTGGCACCGTCACTGGATGAATCCAAAAATTGCTGTTTTGGTTGAAATGGACATTGCTGGCGCTTTCGAACCCGGGGGTGGACCAGGGCCCCCTTTTGCAAAACTTCAAGCACTGGGAATTTTCGGGCTCTAGGGTTTGTCTCCTCAGTGTTACCCTTTATGGTTTGATCTCTAAGTGTAGTCCTCAATGGAACGGAAACCCGCAAGGAACCTATTGGGGCAAACGTTTCCCCCAAGGGGGTGTGCTGGGTCCTGTTATGGGAATGTCTACTTCCCAAAGACCTTTCCCTTTATCTAAACCCAGAAACACAGCATATGCAGACGGAAATGTACACGGGCATTTTATTATCCCCAAAAAGAGAAAAAAGCCAGCCCGCTCTAAGCTAATCAAAACACCCGCTGAGAGCTTTATCCGCTTGGGGGAAAAAGATGGCAAATAAAAATTTGCACCTGAGAAAACCAAATGATGTCGCCACTAGGGGACCATGGGTGGTAATTTCTGGTGCAGTAGTAAGGATGAATGGGGGTTTTTGGAAACCCCGGGAAGAAAAGTTGATATCCCTTTGGGTGAAAAACGCTCCAAACAACCCGAAAACCATGGTTTTAAATTTTTGCAAAAAAAAGGCAGCCAGGGGAAACTTACGCACTTCGCCGGGTTTTTCGCATTTTGCTTGGGGCAGTAGGGGTTGCAAGTTTTGTACGAGGCACAAGTACGCTCACACCTTGAGTATGCTCCAACTTTGGTTTTCCTGTCCCCCCCTCCATATTTTGGAAATGCTTGAAGAGTAGAGAAAAAAGAGCAAGACGTCTAAACTTTTTCGCCTTTGGGCCCATCCTGGATAGATCTTTCATTTCCGCAGGCCTTCAACCCTAGGAGGGTTGTGGGGGGCCCTTTCTGTTATGTACAAGGCCCAAAATTGCAAAATACCAATTTGGGTCCCTTCCCAGGGGGCAGTGTGAAACAAACCCTTTTTTGCCCCAAGAGGGGAGGGCAGAAAGCAGCAACTTCACTCTGGCTGTA